CACAGAACTACAAAACAACACAGAGAGAACTACAAAACAACACAGAGAACTACAAAACAACACAGAGAGAACTACAAAACACACAGAGAACTACAAAACACACAGAGAACTACAAAACAACACAGAGAACTACAAAACAACACATAGAACTACAAAACAACAGAGAACTACAAAACAACACAGAGAACTACAAAACAACACAGAGAACTACAAAACAACACATAGAACTACAAAACAACATATAGAACTACAAAACACACATAGAACTACAAAACACACAGAGAACTACAAAACAACACAGAGAACTACAAAACAACACAGAGAACTACAAAACAACACATAGAACTACAAAACAACATATAGAACTACAAAACAGCACAGAGAACTACAAAACAGCACAGAGAACTACAAAACAACACATAGAACTACAAAACAACATATAGAACTACAAAACAGCACAGAGAACTACAAAACAACACAGAGAACTACAAAACAACACAGAGAACTACAAAACACACAGAGAACTACAAAACAACACAGAGAGAACTACAAAACAACACAGAGAACTACAAAACAACACATAGAACTACAAAACAACACATAGAACTACAAAACACACAGAGAACTACAAAACACACAGAGAACTACAAAACAACACAGAGAACTACAAAACAACACAGAGAACTACAAAACAACACAGAGAACTACAAAACAACACAGAGAACTACAAAACACACAGAACTACAAAACAACACAGAGAACTACAAAACACACAGAACTACAAAACAACACAGAGAACTAGAAAACAACACATATAACTACAAAACAACACAGAGAACTACAAAACAACACAGAGAACTACAAAACAACACATATAACTACAAAACAACAGAGAGAGAACTACAAAACAACACATAACTACAAAACAACACAGAGAACTACAAAACAACACAGAGAACTACAAAACAACACAGAGAACTACAAAACAACACAGAGAACTACAAAACAACACATATAACTACAAAACAACACAGAGAGAACTACAAAACACACAGAACTACAAAAGAACACAGAGAACTACAAAACAATACAGAGAGAACTACAAAACAACACAGAAAACTACAAAACAACACAGAGAACTACAAAACAACACAGATAACTACAAAACAACACAGAGAACTACAAAACAATACAGATAACTACAAAACAACACATAGAACTACAAAACAACACATAGAACACAGAAAACTACAAAACAACACATAGAACTACAAAACAACACAGAGAGAACTACAAAACAACACAGAGAACTACAACACAACACAGAGAACTACAAAACAACACATAGAACTACAAAACAACACATAGAACACAGAAAACTACAAAACAACACATAGAACTACAAAACACACAGAGAACTACAAAACAACACAGAGAACTACAAAACAACACATAGAACTACAAAACAACACAGAGAACTACAAAACAACACAGAGAGAACTACAAAACAACACAGAGAACTACAAAACAACACAGAGAACTACAAAACAACACAGAACTACAAAACAACACAGAGAACTACAAAACAACACAGAGAGAACTACAAAACAACACAGAGAACTACAAAACAACACATAGAACTACAAAATAACACAGATAACTACAAAACAACACAGAGAACTACAAAACAATACAGATAACTACAAAACAACACAGAGAACTACAAAACAATACAGATAACTACAAAACAACACAGAGAGAACTACAAAACAACACAGAAAACTACAAAACAACACAGAGAACTACAAAATAACACAGATAACTACAAAACAACACAGAGAACTACAAAACAATACAGATAACTACAAAACAACACAGAGAGAACTACAAAACAACACAGAGAACTACAAAACAACACAGAGAACTACAAAACAACACATAGAACTACAAAACAACACATAGAACTACAAAACAACACATAGAACACAGAAAACTACAAAACAACACATAGAACTACAAAACACACAGAGAACTACAAAACAACACAGAGAACTACAAAACAACACATAGAACTACAAAACAACACAGAGAACTACAAAACAACACATAGAACTACAAAACAACACAGAGAACTACAAACAACACATAGAACACGGAGAACTACAAAACAACATAGAGAGAACTACAAAACACACAGAGAACTACAAAACAACACATAGAACTACAAAACAACACACAGAACTACAAAACAACACAGAGAGAACTACAAAACAACACAGAGAGAACTACAAAACAACACAGAGAGAACTACAAAACACACAGAGAACTACAAAACAACACATAGAACTACAAAACAACACAGAGAGAACTACAAAACAACACAGAGAGAACTACAAAACAACACAGAGAGAACTACAAAACACACAGAGAACTACAAAACAACACAGAGAACTACAAAACAACACAGAGAACTACAAAACAACACAAACAACACAGAGAGAACTACAAAACAACATAGAGAGAACTACAAAACACACAGAGAACTACAAAACACACAGAGAACTACAAAACAACACAGAGAACTACAAAACAACACAGAGAACTACAAAACAACACATAGAACTACAAAACAACATATAGAACTACAAAACACACATAGAACTACAAAACAGCACAGAGAACTGCAAAACAACACATAGAACTACAAAACAACATATAGAACTACAAAACACACATAGAACTACAAAACAGCACAGAGAACTACAAAACACACAGAGAACTACAAAACAACACAGAGAACTACAAAACACACAGAGAACTACAAAACAACACAGAGAGAACTACAAAACAACACAGAGAACTACAAAACACACAGAACTACAAAACAACACATAGAACTACAAAACAACACATAGAAACTACAAAACACACAGAGAACTACAAAACAACACAGAGAACTACAAAACAACACAGAGAACTACAAAACAACACAGAGAACTACAAAACACACAGAACTACAAAACAACACGGAGAACTACAAAACACACAGAACTACAAAACAACACAGAGAACTAGAAAACAACACATATAACTACAAAACAACACAGAGAACTACAAAACAACACAGAGAACTACAAAACAACACATATAACTACAAAACAACAGAGAGAGAACTACAAAACAACACATAACTACAAAACAACACAGAGAACTACAAAACAACACAGAGAACTACAAAACAACACAGAGAACTACAAAACCAACACAAGAGAACTACAAAACAACACATATAACTACAAAACAACACAGAGAGAACTACAAAACACACAGAACTACAAAAGAACACAGAGAACTACAAAACAACACAGAGAGAACTACAAAACACACAGAACTACAAAAGAACACAGAGAACTACAAAACAACACAGAGAGAACTACAAAACAACACAGAAAACTACAAAACAATACAGATAACTACAAAACAACACAGAGAACTACAAAACAATACAGATAACTACAAAACAACACAGAGAGAACTACAAAACAACACAGAGAACTACAACACAACACAGAGAACTACAAAACAACACATAGAACTACAAAACAACACATAGAACACAGAAAACTACAAAACAACACATAGAACTACAAAACACACAGAGAACTACAAAACAACACAGAGAACTACAAAACAACACATAGAACTACAAAACAACACAGAGAACTACAAAACAACACAGAGAGAACTACAAAACAACACATAGAACTACAAAACAACACAGAGAACTACAAAACAACACATAGAACTACAAAACAACACATAGAACTACAAAACAACACAGAGAACTACAAAACAACACATAGAACACAGAGAACTACAAACAACATAGAGAGAACTACAAAACACACAGAGAACTACAAAACAACACATAGAACTACAAAACAACACACAGAACTACAAAACAACACAGAGAGAACTACAAAACAACACAGAGAGAACTACAAAACACACAGAGAACTACAAAACACACAGAGAACTACAAAACACACAGAGAACTACAAAACAACACAGAGAACTACAAAACAACACAAACAACACAGAGAGAACTACAAAACAACATAGAGAGAACTACAAAACACACAGAGAACTACAAAACACACAGAGAACTACAAAACACACAGAGAACTACAAAACACACAGAGAACTACAAAACAACACAGAACTACAAAACAACACAGAGAACTACAAACAACACAGAGAACTACAAAACACACAGAGAACTACAAAACAACACAGAGAACTACAAAACACACAGAGAACTACAAAACAACACATAGAACTACAAAACAGCACATAGAACTACAAAACAGCACAGAGAACTACAAAACACACAGAGAACTACAAAACAACACAGAGAACTACAAAACACAGAGAACTACAAAACAACACAGAGAACTACAAAACAACACAGAACTACAAAACACACAGAGAACTACAAAACAACACATAGAACTACAAAACACATAGAACTACAAAACACACAGAGAACTACAAAACAACACAGAGAACTACAAAACACACAGAGAACTACAAAACAACATAGAGAGAACTACAAAACACACATAGAACTACAAAACAGCACATAGAACTCAGAGAACTACAAAACAACACAGAGAACTACAAACAACACATAGAACTACAAAACAACACAGAGAACTACAAAACAACACAGAGAACTACAAACCCGTCCTCTTCTGCTTCTCAGATGAACTCCCTGGCCGTTTCCCAATGTCGAGTAAAGCTGCTGCAGAGCCACTATTCCAGGTGTACTACGTCATGGAGCGGCCCCCTAACCCTAACCCTAACCCCTGAAGGACTGTTTAGATGCCCAGCATCCGGCGCCGCTCCATGACGTATACCTGGAATAGTGGCTCTGCAGCAGCTTTACTCGTCTGCTCCTCTCTGTCTTGACTGAGATAAACACCTGTCTCCCCCCCCAGGTGGACTTCTTCACCTTTAACCCCCAGGTGCTCCTGGACCCCCCCCCCCCTGCAGGGCCCCCTGGGGCCAGAGCAGGATCTGAGTCGGGGTTTAGAGGCGACGCCCGTGCAGATCCTCCTGGGAGGGGCCCCCCCTCCCATCTTCCGCTACAGGAAGGAAAGATGGCCGCACGGCTGCTTCCTGTCTCGCAGCCCGGACCTGTTCACTTCCTGCTGCGACTGCACCGACGGCTGCAGCCAATCATCGCGCTGCGCCTGTGTCGCCATGACCACCGGGGGGCGGGGCTACAGCCACCACCGCCTGGCTCAGCCCGTCCAATCAGGGTGAGTCCGGGTCAATAATCTTATTTAAAGTTCTCCTATTGTGCTGTTTTTAGGCAGATATCACAGGTCTCAGATATAAGGACATGTCTCTGAAGTGTCCTGCTCCTAACCCCAAACAGATCCTTGTACCCCCCCCCCTCTCTTCCAGCTGTTACTAAGGACATGTCTCTGAAGTGTCCTGCTCCTAACCCCAAACAGATCCTTGTAGCCCCCCCCCCCTCTCTCCCAGCTGTTACTAAGGACATGTCTCTGAAGTGTCCTGCTCCAAACCCCAAACAGATCCTTGTAGCCCCCCCCTCTCTCCCAGCTGTTACTAAGGACATGTCTCTGAAGTGTCCTGCTCCAAACCCCAAACAGATCCTTGTAGCCCCCCCCCCCCCTCTCTTCCAGCTGTTACTAAGGACATGTCTCTGAAGTGTCCTGCTCCAAACCCCAAACAGATCCTTGTAGCCCCCCCCCCCCCCCTCTCTCCCAGCTGTTACTAAAGAGCTGACTCTGGGTCAGTAGCTTCAGAGAGAGAGTAGATCTCATCAGGAGAACTCTCCCAGCAGAAACTCAGCTAAATGCTGCCGTGATGAAACTCCATATCATGTTCCAAACCACATGAAGGATTCTCTCTGAAACAGTATGGAGCTCAAACTCTTTCTCTCTCAGGTTTACCACAAGGTGACTTCCTTTTGATTTCCTGCTTCTTCACACACACTCTCTCCAGTACAGGTTAGCTCTGAGTGTTAGCATGGTAATGTAAACACAGTTATTTAATGTGTTTCAGGGTGTATGAGTGTGGCCCCTGGTGCAGCTGTGTTCGGGGCCCCTGTCAGAACCGACCCGTCCAGCGGGGCCTGAGGGTCCGGCTGCAGGTCTTCAGAGCGGAGGGGCGAGGCTGGGGGGTCCGCTGCCGTGACGACGTCGACACGGGGACCTTCATCTGCATCTACGCAGGTAAACAGGAAGAACATAGGGAACTACAAACACACACAGGGAACTACAAACACACACAGGGAACTACAAACACACACAGGGAACTACAAACACACAGGGAACTACAAACACACACAGGGAACTACAAACACACACAGGGAACTACAAACACACAGGGAACTACAAACACACACAGGGAAACTACAAACACACACAGGGAACTACAAACACACACAGGGAACTACAAACACACACAGGGAACTACAAACACACACAGGGAACTACAAACACACACAGGGAACTACAAACACACACAGGGAACTACAAACACACACAGGGAACTACAAAACACACACAGGGAACTACAAACACACACAGGGAACTACAAACACACAGGGAACTACAAACACACAGGGAACTACAAACACACACGGGGAACTACAAACACACACAGGGAACTACAAACACACAGGGAACTACAAACACACACAGGGGAACTACAAACAACACACAGGGAACTACAAACACACACAGGGAACTACAAACACACACAGGGAAACTACAAACACAACAGGGAACTACAAACACACACAGGGAACTACAAACACACCCAGGGAACTAACAAACACCCACAGGGGAACTACAAACACACAAGGGAACTACAAACACACACACAGGGAACTACAAACACACACAGGGAACTACAAACACACACACAGGGAACTACAAACACACACAGGGAACTACAAACACACACAGGGAACTACAAACACACACAGGGAACTACAAACACACACACAGGGAACTACAAACGCACAGGGAACTACAAACACACACAGGGAACTACAAACACACACAGGGAACTACAAACACACACAGGGAACTACAAACACACACAGGGAACTACAAACACACGTTAACACACGTTAATGTGTGTGTGTTTACCATGTGTCAATGTGTGTGTGTTTACCATGTGTTAATGTATGTGTTTACCATGTGTCAATGTGTGTGTGTTTACCATGTGTTATTGTGTGTGTGTTTACCATGTGTCAATGTGTGTGTGTTTACCATGTGTTATTGTGTGTGTGTTTACCATGTGTTATTGTGTATGTGTTTACCATGTGTCAATGTGTGTGTGTTTACCATGTGTTATTGTGTGTGTGTTTACCATGTGTTATTGTGTATGTGTTTACCATGTGTCAATGTGTGTGTGTTTACCATGTGTCAATGTGTGTGTGTTTACCATGTGTCAATGTGTGTGTGTAGGCGTGATGCTGCGCAGGGTGCAGAGCGATCCCCCCCCTCCAAAGCTAACGAGGGCCGACCTGCCGTCGGACGACGAGGTGGAGCTGGTCACTGAGTGGCTGCCCCCCCACCAGGGAACCCCCCCCCTGCACGTCCCCGTCATACAGAGGCCCCCCACAGGGCAGGAGGTCAGCTGTCTTAATGTTGTTGTTGTTGTTATTGTGTTACATTGAGTTCTGTTTCTGAGGTCAGCTGTGTTTATCTGCAGGCGACTGAGGCCCCGCCCCCATCCTCAGGTGAGTCAGGTGATCCGGAGGGGGGGGTCAGGAAGAGCCAGAAGAAGAGAGCTCTGCAGCCGGAGGACGTTTACTTCCTGGACGCCAGCAAGGAGGGCAACGTGGCACGCTTCATAAACGTGAGGGAAACATGTTCAGAAAAACTACACACATGAAACTACAAACACACAGAAAACTACAAACACACAGGAAACTACAAACACACATGAAACTACAAACACACAGAAAACTACAAACACACAGGAAACTACAAACACACATGAAACTACAAACACACAGGAAACTACAAACACACATGAAACTACAAACACACAGGAAACTACAAACACACATGAAACTACAAACACACAGAAAACTACAAACACACAGGAAACTACAAACACACATGAAACTACAAACACACAGGAAACTACAAACACACAGGGAAACTACAAACACACATGAAACTACAAACACACATGAAACTACAAACACACAGGAAACTACAAACACACAGGAAACTACAAACACACAGGAAACTACAAACACACAGGAAACTACAAATACACAGGAAACTACAAACACACAGGAAACTACAAACACACAGGAAACTACAAACACACATGAAACTACAAACACACACAGAAAACTACAAACACACAGAAAACTACAAACACACAGGAAACTACAAATACATACAGAAAACTACAAACACACAGAAAACTACAAACACACATGAAACTACAAACACACAGAAAACTACAAACACACAGAAAACTACAAACACACATGAAACTACAAACACACATGAAACTACAACACACACAGAAAACTACAAACACACAGAAAACTACAAACACACATGAAACTACAAACACACATGAAACTACAAACACACAGGAAACTACAAACACACAGGAAACTACAAACACACACAGGAAACTACAAACACACAGGAAACTACAAACACACATGAAACTACAAACACACAGAAAACTACAAACACACAGGAAACTACAAACACACAGGAAACTACAAACACACATGAAACTACAAACACACAGGAAACTACAAACACACATGAAACTACAAACACACAGGAAACTACAAACACACATGAAACTACAAACACACAGAAAACTACAAACACACAGGAAACTACAAACACACATGAAACTACAAACACACAGGAAACTACAAACACACACAGGAAACTACAAACACACATGAAACTACAAACACACAGGAAACTACAAACACACAGGAAACTACAAACACACAGGAAACTACAAACACAGGAAACTACAAACACACAGGAAACTACAAATACACAGGAAACTACAAATACACAGGAAACTACAAACACACAGGAAACTACAAACACACAGAAACTACAAACACACATGAAACTACAAACACACATGAAAACTACAAACACACATGAAACTACAAACACACATGAAACTACAAACACACATGAAACTACAAATACACATGAAACTACAAACACACAGGAAACTACAAAACACAGGAAACTACAAACAACACAGTGAAACTTACAAACACACATGAACTACAAACACACAGAAAACTACAAACACACAGAAAACTACAAACACACAGGAAACTACAAATACATACAGAAAACTACAAAACACACAGAAAACTACAAAACACACATGAAACTACAAAACACACAGAAAACTACAAACACACAGAAAACTACAAACACACATGAAACTACAAACACACATGAAACTACAAACACACACAGAAAACTACAAACACACAGAAAACTACAAACACACATGAAACTACAAACACACATGAACTACAAACACACACAGGAAACTACAAACACACATGAAACTACAAACACACATGAAACTACAAACACACACAGAAACTACAACACCACTAAACTACAAACACACATGAAACTACAAACACACAGGAAACTACAAACACACACATGAAACTACAAACACACACAGGAAACTACAAATACACAGGAAACTACAAACACACAGGAAACTACAAACACACAGGAAACTACAAAACACACATAGAACTACAAACACACACAGAAAACTACAAACACACAGAAAACTACAAACACACAGGAAACTACAAACACACATGAAACTACAAACACACATGAAACTACAAACACACATGAAACTACAAACACACATGAAACTACAAACACACATGAAACTACAAACACACAGGAAACTACAAACACACAGGAAACTACAAACACACAGGAAACTACAAACACACATTAAACTACAAACACACACAGAAAACTACAAACACACAGAAAACTACAAACACACAGGAAACTACAAACACACATGAAACTACAAAACACACATGAAACTACAAACACACATGAAACTACAAACACACACAGGAAACTACAAATACACAGGAAACTACAAACACACAGGAAACTACAAACACACAGGAAAACTACAAACACACAGGAAACTACAAACACACTTGAAACTACAAACACACACAGAAAACTACAAACACACAGAAAACTACAAACACACAGGAAACTACAACACACACAGAAAACTACAAACACACAGAAAACTACAAACACACAGGAAACTACAAACACACATGAAACTACAAACACACAGAAAACTACAAACACACAGGAAACTACAAACACACAGAAACTACAAACACACATGAAACTACAAACACACATGAAACTACAAACACACAGGAAACTACAAACACACATGAAACTACAAACACACACATGAAACTACAAACACACAGGAAACTACAAACACACATGAAACTACAAACACACACAGAAAACTACAAACACACAGAAAACTACAAACACACAGGAAACTACAAACACACATGAAACTACAAACACACAGAAACTACAAACACACAGGAAACTACAAACACACAGAAAACTACAAACACACATGAAACTACAAAACACACATAGAACTACAAAACACACAGGAAACTACAAACACACATGAAACTACAAACACACACAGGAAACTACAAACACACATGAAACTACAAACACACAGGAAACTACAAACACACATGAAACTACAAACACACACAGGAAACTACAAACACACAGGAAACTACAAACACACAGAAAACTACAAACACACAGGAAACTACAAACACACATGAAACTACAAATACACATGAAACTACAAAACACACATGAAACTACAAAAACACATGAAACTACAAACACACAGGAAACTACAAACACACAGGAAACTACAAACACACAGGAAACTACAAACACACAGGAAACTACAAACACACACAGGAAACTACAAACACACACATGAAACTACAAACACACAGGAAACTACAAACACACACAGGAAACTACAAACACACACAGGAAACTACAAACACATACAGGAAACTACAAATACAGGAAACTACAAATACACATGAAACTACAAACACACACATGAAACTACAAACACACATGAAACTACAAACACACTTGAAACTACAAACACACACATGAAACTACAAACACACAGGAAACTACAAACACACACATGAAACTACAAACACACATGAAACTACAAACACACAGAAACTACAAATACATACAGGAAACTACAAATACAGGAAACTACAAACAAACATGAAACTACAAACACACACAGGAAACTACAAACACACAGGAAACTACAAATACATACAGGAAACTACAAACACACAGGAAACTACAAACACACACAGGAAACTACAAATACAGGAAACTACAAACACACATGAAACTACAAACACACATGAAACTACAAACACACACAGGAAACTACAAACACACAGAAACTACAAATACATACAGGAAACTACAAATACAGGAAACTACAAATACACATGAAACTACAAACACACAGGAAACTACAAACACACAGAAAACTACAAACACACATGAAACTACAAACACACATGAAACTACAAACACACATGAAACTACAAACACACAGGAAACTACAAACACACAGGAAACTACAAACACACACAGGAAACTACAAATACACACAGGAAACTACAAACACACAGGAAACTACAAACACACACATGAAACTACAAACACACAGGAAACTACAAACACACAGGAAACTACAAACACACACATGAAACTACAAACACACAGGAAACTACAAACACACTTGAAACTACAAATACACATGAAACTACAAACACACAGGAAACTACAAACACACATGAAACTACAAACACACAGGAAACTATAAACACACATGAAACTACAAACACACATGAAACTACAAATACAGGAAACTACAAACACACATGAAACTACAAACACACATGAAACTACAAACACACAGGAAACTACAAACACACTTGAAACTACAAATACACATGAAACTACAAACACACAGGAAACTACAAACACACAGGAAACTACAAATACACATGAAACTACAAACACACATGAAACTACAAATACAGGAAACTACAAACACACATGAAACTACAAACACACAGGAAACTACAAACACACAGGAAACTACAAACACACATGAAACTACAAACACACATGAAACTACAAATACAGGAAACTACAAACACACATGAAACTACAAACACACAGGAAACTACAAACACACAGGAAACTACAAACACACACAGAAAACTACAAACACACAGGAAACTACAAACACACATGAAACTACAAACACACACAAAAACTACAAACACACAGGAAACTACAAACACACAGGAAACTACAAACACACAGGAAACTACAAACACACATGAACTACAAACACACACAGGAAACTACAAACACACATGAAACTACAAACACACAGGAAACTACAAACACACATGAAACTACAAACACACAGGAAACTACAAACACACACAGGAAACTACAAATACACAGGAAACTACAAACACACAGGAAACTACAAACACACACATGAAACTACAAACACACATGAAACTACAACACACATGAAACTACAAATACACACAGGAAACTACAAATACAGGAAACTACAAATACACATGAAACTACAAATACACATGAAACTACAAACACACACATGAAACTACAAACAAACATGAAACTACAAACACACAG